TGTCTATTTCCCCTTCCCAGGAGAATCCATGTATGTCTCTCTTAGTGTTTTCCTTGTTACCTAGCTTCTCTGGGGTCATGGACTGTAGGCTAGGCTATATCCTTTGCTTTACCTAAAATATGCACTTATGAGTGAGTACATGCCATATTAGTCTTTCTGGGTCTGGGTTACCTCACTCAGGATGGTTTTTCTAGTTCTATCCATTTGCTTTCAAATTTCAAGATATCATTGTTTTTGTTTTGTTTTGTTTTTTGTTTTGTTTTGTTTTTCTGCTGAGTAGTACTCCATTGTGTAAATGTACCACATTTTCTTTATTCATTCTTTGTTTGAGCGGTATCTAAGTTGTCTCCAGATTCTGGCTAGTATGAATAATGCTGCTATGAACATAGTTGAGCAATTGTCCTTTTGGTATGAGTGTACATCCTTTGGGTATATGCCCAAGAGTGGCATTGTTGGGTCTTGAGGTAGATTGATTCCCAATTTTCTGAGAAACCACCATACTGATTTCCAGGGGTTATCAAGAAATTTGGCACTAGTGCAGTCCACAAAGATAATCCCAGATAAGACCTTAAACCTCATTGGAGAAAGTGCATCTTTGCTCCTGTCTCCCCCTGCCTTATATTCCTCTCTCCACCCAGCCATACCACTCCTGTCTCTACCTTTCTAGTGCTGGGATTAAAGGCGAGTGATCCCAAGGGCTGGAAAGAGCTCTATGTGAACTCAGTTTTCACTTTTAGAGAAATTCACTCATGTGTAGCCCACAATGGCCTTGAACTCACAGAGATCCTTCTGCCTCTGTCTCCTGAGTGCTGAGATTAAAGGTGTGTGCCACGATTGCCTGGCCTCTGTGGCTTACTAGGGTGGCTAGCTCTGCATTCTGATCTTCAGGCAAGCTTTATTTGTTAGATCACAAACAACACATCACCACATTAAATCTCCGTTTCATGTATTAGGGAAAGTTGGCTCAAGGCATGGATTTCAAAACAGAAGAAAAGCTTCAGTTGTACAACTTAATAGTCTCAGAGCTTACTGGGTTTCATGGACAGGAAGTGAAGCACGTCAAACTCTATTCCAAGACAGGAACCATCTTGAAATCTGTAATTTATCTATAGAAGTGAAATACCCTCATTAGACATCTCTACTCTCAAAGTTCACAGGGTTATAGATTACCAAGGCAGTAGACTATGACCATCTTAAGTTGCAGGTTTGCAACAGGCTAATGAATTTTAAAAGTCCATTTAAAAAGATACACATTTTTTTTCTCTTCTGTGCCATTTGAACTTAGATTCAAGAGAGATGATCAACTTGATCCTTCAAGCATGTAAGAGGAACACTAGAGGAAGTTTAACCATTACTTCCTGGCTAACGATAAATATAAGCCATCACTCGGACATTTAAGGACAGGGATCTATGACATAATCTTTGGAATATGACCCTAAGAGGGTAAACTTTTCAAGGGGAAATCACAAGATGCCTGGAATCTGGATGACCAAGTAAATTCACAAAGGAAAAAAATGAAAAAATCAAAATGCATCAAGGGAAAATAACACCATGTCCCTGGTACATAGATTGCAAGTACTGAAATATATTTATTGTATCTTAAAACAGTATGATAACAAACAACCACATTAGTAAATACATGGGACACCTATCAAGGCCTAGAAGAGAGAGAAATTTGAGTTCTGAGGATCCTAGCTATTTTTTCTATGAGCCTGTAGTGTAATAAGAATGGAGGTGACCTTGTATAAACAGACATCCTGAGGTAAGTCTGCTTACCATTGCTGTTTAAACCATCATTTAAGGAGTGATGTGTTGAGGTAGTTTCTATACCCCCCAGGTCCTGCGATCCTTGTCAGCCCCAAATACGCACATGGACACTATATATTAATTATTAAACAGTTGGCTGATGGCTAGGGCTTCTTATTGGCTATCTCTGTCTTAATTATTAATTCATAACTACTATTCTATATATTTCCACATAGCCTTATCTTACCAGAAAATGCATGGCATGTCCTATCCTCTCAGTCTCTACATGGCATCTTCCTGCATGCCCTCTCTGCCTGCCTCATCTCTGCTAGGTCAGTCAGTATAGCATGAGACTCTTAATGACAGGGCCTTGGGTATGTGCCTAACATTGGTTGCCATTTTGCTGGTGGTGTTTTTCTTTGTCCTGTCAGGTTCCACCACTGCTCCAGCCTTAAATAACCACACAAAGACATATTAATTAATAAACTTTTGGCCAATGACTAGCTCTTCTTATTGGCTACCTCTGTCTTAATTATTAAACCATTTCTATTAATTTAAGCATTTCCACATGGTCTTATCTTAATGGAGAAGGGAAAAGACCTGTTACTCCTTTGGCAGGCCACATGGTGGCTCTCCTAGGCAGAATCCCTCTGCCTACCTTTCCCAGAAGTCTCCTTGTCTCCTCACCATGCCTATCTTTCTGCCTTCATTGGCCAAACAGTGTTTTATTCATCAACCAATAAGGAAACATAAACACAGAAGGACATTCTTCATCGGTGATGTTCCTCTAGGAACTTGTCATCTATAACACTGTGACTGTATATTCTGTTGCTTTAAAAAACATAATAATTGTAACCTTGTTCTAGTTGTAGTTACTTTATTAGTTCTATATTTAATAGTTCCACTAAATGTCATTTTATTTCCAGGCCTTAAACTGGATTAATCATTTTCCTAATATTTATTTACTATGAATTAAAATATAAACTTCTTTAGTGTGTCTTAGAACTGAGAAAATTAGCTGATCTAGATCTGATTCTATATCAAATATCTCAATCTCCATTTTGGTATCTGTGTTCCCAGTTCTGAAAACAACGCAGTGGGATATATATCTGCATTTGTAGTCTTCCAGATGTTTCCATTAGCAGACTCCATTTAGCTACTCACACTACAGGGAAATGCTTATTCCTACAGAATACATTATAAATGACATGGGGTAATAAGGAGAAATTCTGTACTGGGGAGATAAGATCTACTTGTGAGCAAAAGAGATTAGGACATGATTTAATATATATGGCACACAATGAAGGTTCCTGAGCATTATAGAAGAGAAGAAGAATTTGTTCTACAAGCAGTTGAAGAGTCGCACACCAATTTTCTAATCAGAGATGGCAGGACTGTGTCATGGATCATCATGTTCAAATCTCTGTGAAGCTCTGACCTTCACCAGCTCTCATCACTGTGGCTTAAACAAATGCTCACTTTATTTCTCCAGCTGTACTACTTTCCTTGACTTAATGCAAATCTTAGAGTTTTGCAAATATGTGCTGATTTTCATAAAATTCGAACTTTTGAAAATATCTAAGGTAACTTAAAATTTTCCGAATTTGGCAAGTATAATTACTTCTGGTGCATAAAACAGAAATACCAGCACATGAAATATCAGCATGAGATATAAAAGTGTTGAGAATATCTTAGGGTAAAAAGCGTTCCAAAGAGATACATTTGACATCTATTAGAGAACAAGCTTGAATTAAATAAGATGACTGTGTGCTAAAATTGGGTGTTTGGGCCTGGTGATGGTGGGACATGTCTTTGATCCCAGCTCTTATGAGGCAGAAACAGGCAAATCTCTGTGAGTTCTAGTCTACTGAGGGAGTTCCAAGACAGCCTCCAGAGATACATAGAAACCTTGTCTTGAAAAACTAATAAAAATAAATGGGTGTATGGTTCTCCCCTATCAGCAGGAATCAAAATATAATGATCCAAAGAAGGTAGAGAAAAATTCTCTGTGAAATAAAATAAGTCTTAGTATTGGAAGTAAAAGGTCCACAATAAATAGGACTTTATAAATAGACTATTTCCACCTGCTATTAAATATGGAAAAGTTTCATATTCCAAATGCAGTAACAAGGTGGACTTTGAAACTCAAGAGGCATAGTGAAAGGGGTGATGACAATTCTCAAACTTGGTTATAGTGGATATGGCATCGAAGGCTGACATTTTGACAAGACAAAAACATTCAGGACTTAAGGGGCTATTCCTGCCTGGCCATTAACCCCGGTCCAGACAGGTTTCTGACCTCGGGTTCTGACAACTTCTCTTAGTGGAGTAAGCAGGATAAAACAAAACAATACAATACAATACAATACAATACAATACAATACAATACAATACAATACAATACAAAACAAGGACAGATCTAAACATGAGTAAAAGTTAAATTGAAAGTTAAAGAAGTTGAAAGAGAAGATAAGTATGCCGTTTTATCTAATAGTTTCAACAAAGTAACAGAACAACAAAGTTTACACACAGAGAGCTGAGATCAAATATTTGCTCCATCATACTATAGATCCATTGCCCTACTTTTCATAAAATTATTATGCAGTAGATGTTCTGCATCATTAAAGTGTATTAAATTATTATGTATGACATAGAAACAAGCATGATAACATGCAGACTGTACTTAGTAAAATATTTAATACATTTTGTGAGAAGAGAAATGTATTCCTTCTAGAACAAAGAAAATGAATTATCTCACAGTGGTATAATAAAATTCATGAAAGGAGACTTGTCTTGGAGAAGGAGGAAAAGAGGGAGTAATATAGACAGAAATAAAGAAAGAAAAGGGAGATGGAGAGAGGAAGGGGAGACTTGGGGGCAGGAATGGGAAGGGATGACTTAATTGGAAAAAGCAGTAAAAATGCAATTTTCTGGAATACAATTTAGATGATAGTTTCCTATATCTTTATTTTTAAGGGTTTAACACAATTTCTCCTCTAATAGTTTTAGATTTTGCACTAAGATATTTTGATCTATTTTGAATTATTTTGATGCTAGGTCAATTGTGTTTACATCTTCTGTAGGTGGATAAACACTTTTTAGAGCATTATTTGTTAAAGAGACACAGCTTGAGCACCTTTATCAAGAATTAGATGAGGATCTCTGCACATGTGTATTTTGGGGAACTTTCCACTACTGTTGGTACTTATTTATATTTTCTTATTTCCATGCTGTTTGACACTCCGTGGCTCCATAATGTAATATAATGTCATCTAATAAAATTCTAGCGATACAGAAAAGATTAGCAAGGCCCCTATGCAAAGATGACATGCAAATTCATGAAGCATTCCATATTTTTAGCTTCTAAAGCATCAGGGCATATAAGATTCGTGGTGAGGGTATTTATGCTGACCTACAGGTTCAGGCAGAATATGACAACTATATGTTGTCCCTATGAAGGAAAGCAGCAATAAACAGCTGGGTTAAGGTTTGTGAGCCAGGGGAATGACTGGAAGCTTATACCAGAATATAACAGGGACCAACATAACTATTCCAGGACTTCTTACAAATGTTAACCAGGGCAGTAGAATTACAAGTAACAGATATGACAGTAAAACATTCAATTGTATATAAAATAGCCTGTGACAATGCAAACCCAATATGCAAAAGAATACTTTTGCCTTTAAAGATCAAGTCAGCTCTTTTACATACAGGAGAAGCTATCCTGAGAGGTTTCAAAAGACAGCAGGAGATTAAGAGTTCCAGAGGCAATGACAGAGGGGCTTTGGAAGGAGAAACACCTTACAGAGATCAACATAGGTACCAAGAGGCCAGGGTTCATCACTACTATGAACCAGAACCTCGTGTAGGAAGAGCCCACTCCAGGAGACCACAAAGATGTCAGGAACCTAGATATTTCAGCTGTGGTAGAATGAGACATGTAAAGAGAAATTGTAGACAAAGAAATTCTAATGATCCCTCACGAGAAAGGCAACTGCCTTCTGGATTGTGTATGAGATGCGGTAAGGGCAGACACTAGACTAATGAGTGTAGATCGACCAGGGACATGCAAGGGAACCCGTTAAGGCTGGGAAATTCCAAAGGGGGACTTCTTGAGGCCCCCACATTGAAAATGTCTGGTCATTTCCAGTAGCAGTGGAAGACAATCTCTCACAGGGCAAATAGTTCTTTGTCTATTGTGAAAGATGAAACTGCTATAGATGGTAGTCTGACTAGCGATGAAGAATCAGATAAGACTGGACAAGATGAAAAGCGCATATTTTGGCAGACCTCCATCAAGATAAAAGGCCCCATTTAAAAGTAAAAATCAATAATAAGATTATTAATGGCGTTGTAGACACTGGCGCTGATGTCACTATTATTACACAAAAGTCCTGGATCGAGAAGTGGCTGCTTAGAGAAGCAAATTTACAATTTTTGGGAATTGAAACTCTATCTAGAGTTTAAAAAAGTATTCACTCGGTGGTCTGCATTGGACCGGAAGGACAGTAAGGGAGACTAAAACCATACTTGGCAAAAATAGCTATAAACCTCTGGGGTCATGATCTCTTACAGCAATGGAACATGGAGATTAATATCCACCCAGTGTCAGATGTGAATTATGTACAATCTCTGGATAGTAGAAAAGACCTGGTAAGACGCTGTGGGAAACGGTTATCAACCATCCAGGCTGTACAGAAACTAAATACAAATGATAGACCTTCAGAGGAGCCAAAGCCCCTGCCATTAAAATGACTTACAGGTGAACCTGTCTGGGTAGGACAATGGCCTTTGACCTCTGAGAAGCTAGAGGCTCTAGAAAAATTAATACAGTAACAATTAGAGGCTGGACACATAGAGGACTCTACCAGCCCTTGGAATTCTCCTGTATTTGTTATCATTCTCCAGGTAACTGGAGATTGCTGACAGACCCCAGAGCCATAAATGAGGTAATTCAACCAATGGGCTCTTTGCAACCTGGAATACCATTACCTTCCTTAATACCTAAAGGATGGCATATCATAGTCTTTGATCTGAAAGACTGTTTTTTTTTTTCACTATACCATTACAAGAAAGTGATAGAGAGAAATTTGCATTTACTATACCAACTCTTAATAATTCACAGACAGTTCAAAGATATCAGTGGAAGGTTTTGCCACAAGGGATGCTAAATAGTCATACTTTATGTCAACACTTCATACAACAACCTTTGGAAATAATTAGTAAGAAATTTTCACAATCCCGCATTTATCATTGCATGGATGATATTCTTTTATCAGATTCCAATAAGGAAACTTTGGAATGTATGTTTGATATGGTGAAGGAAGTTCTGCCTAGAAGGGGGTTACAGATTGCCCCGGATAAGATACAAAGAGGAGATTCTATTAACCATTTAGGTTATAAAATAGACTTGCAAAGAACCAGGCCACAGAAGGTACAAATTAGAAGGGATCGTCATTAAACTCTTAATAATCTTCAGAAGCTGCTAGGGGAAATTTCTCAATTATATACAATTATTTGTGTAGAATGACATGACATAAAGCATTTAAAAATGGTCCTTAAAGGTGATAAGGACATAAACAGTCCGAGAATATTAACTGCTGAGGCAGAAAAAGAATTACAATGGGTAGAAAACAGAATATTGGATGCACATGTAGATCGGATAAACCTTGATTTTGACTGTATTCTGATTATCTTGCCATCCAGAGAATATCCTTCTGGAATTCTGATGCAGAGGGAAGACACCATATTGGATATTGGAGTGAATATTTCTGCCACATAAACATAATGAAAAGTTAAAGACATATATAGAAAAGATTTATGATTTGATTTTAAAGGGAAAATTAAGACTTCGTCAACTGACTGGAGAAGATCCAGCAGAAATTATAGTACCTTTAACTAATGAAGAAATCTCATCCTTATGGAAGGATAATGAATATTGGCAAATAGCTCTTACTGACTTTTGGGGAATGATTATCAACAAATCTCCCCAAACAGAAAAAAATTAAATTCATAAAAAAGACAATCTGGATTCTTCCACGTATTGAATGACAAACTCCCATTTCTGGAGTTCTTACCTTCTACACTGAGGCCAACAAATCAGTTAAGGCTGGGTATAAAACAGGTGAGGTAAGTAAAGTAGTTTAAAGTCCTGTACAGAAGGCAGAATTATATGCAATTCTCATGGATTTTATAGAACCTCTTAATATAGTTACTGATTCCCAATATTCAGAGATAGTCATCTTATACATTGAGACTGCAGAATTCATTCCTGATAATACAGAATTAACTTCACTGTTTCTACAATTACAGGAAACAATCAGAAACAGAAGTAATCCTCTATATATCATACATATGAGACCACATATGGGTCTACTAGGCCTACTAGCATGAATCAATGATGAGATTGATTGTTTATTCATTGGAAGTGTGCTAGAAGCCTCAGAATTTCATAAGAAACATCATGTAAATAGTAAAGGTTTAAAATAGGACTTCTCCACCACTTGGCAACAAGCCAAGGAGATAGTGAGAAACTGTCCTACTTGTTCTTTTTATAACCAAACTCCACTGCCAGCAGGCTGTAATCCTATAGGCATTCAGAGGAATGAGGTCTGGCAGATGGATATCTTTCACTTTAGAGAATTTGGAAATTTGAAATATGTACACCATACTACAGACACATTCTCAGGGTTCCAATTGGCTACTGCTCTCAACTCTGAAAAAGCTGATTCTGTTATTACACACCTGCTAGAGGTGATGGCAGTTATGGGTATACTTGCACAAATGAAAACTGACAATGCTCCAGCATATATCTCCACAAAAATGGAACAGTTTTTCAAATATTGTAACATAAAGCATGTCACCTGTACCACACCATCCTACGTGACAGTCAGTCAGTGGTTGAGCGATCTAATAGAACATGTAAGGAGATGCTCCACAGACAGGCTGGGAAGACAACCCCCCCCAAAAAAACACATAGGTTGCATAGTGCTTTATTGACACTAAAATTTCTTAATGCCAATGAAAAAGGACAAACAGCTGCAGAAAGATACTGGACTATGGAACAAACTGCTGAACTGAATCAATAAGTATACTTCAAAGATGTACTAACCGCAGTATGGAAGCCTGGACATGTGTTACGTTGGGGTAGGGGTTTTTCATTGGTTTCCACAGGAGAAGATAAACTTTGGATACCATCAAAGTTGATCAAAATTTGAGTTGAAAAAGACAAACCTCTAGACAAGGACAAGTGACAGGTATTTTACTGAGGTATATCTCATAAACTAAATAGAAGCCCCACCAAAGGAAAAGGAAGTGTTTTGCTTTTATCTTCACAGGAAAACTCAGCTCCAGAATTCCAAGAACACTACATGGGTACATGCTTAAGAAAAGAAGGTAGCTATAACCATCAAACAAAAGGAACATGCCATACGGTAAACTTTAGAGCTGTCTCTCAAATAACTCTATTTCTCATTATTTTTCTAGTCCCTATTCAATTAAACCAATGTTGGATTTAGAGTTGAATTTGGCTTTCATCCTCTAAAATCCAAGCACATTGTTTAACTAAACTTTAGAGTTTCTGTATTGTATCAAGAAGCCAGTTGATGTAATACAGAATGATAGAAGAATTTGGGGACTGTATTTGTCTTTCTTGGCTCTTTCCTTCAAGGTGTACACCATCTCATAATCATTATTTTTCCATGGTTGCCTTTTCTAGCATGTATACACATACAATCAAACATTTCTCTGCTAACACTTATGTTTTAGTCCCATACAGCCGATGAAGACCTACCTGACAGCAATCCCTGGATGCTCAGGAAGGAAATTGGGCCATACCTCTTAGACTTCACTGAATACAACTTACTCCATTTCAACTGACACTCAGACCAGAGCTTTGGGTACTGACTTCAATCAAGTTGAGGATTTCAACCCAGATCTTCAATCAAGCAAATCCCATTTAACATGGACTGGATACAATCCATTAGAGACTTTCACTATACTAACATTTTCTTCCCACAGGACCCCACAAGACTAATGCCATCCCATTTCAGCAGGAAGCAACTTGGAGGATGCTATGCCCCCTTCCCCCATTATTGTCTATTAGGATAGTGTAAGCCTAGTTAGGGGTGGCTTACTATTATTTATGGTTGGGAATGGAAGGAGGTGTTCAGGCTTGGACACCTTTTCCAGATGAGTTTAGGGTTTAGTTGATGTAGAAATAGGATGTGTCATAGCAGATTATTGTATCTTGTTGTATTTCACCTTTGTGATTGTTAATTTTGGATTCTTTACATTGTTAAGCTTTAATTCTCTTTTAGACTAAAGGGGGAATTATAGGGGACAGTATAAGCCATGCCT